TTACATACAGCCCTCTCAAGGAAAATCAGTAATTCTCAATGAAATACAGTAACAATTCATCTTGTAAATGAAAACATCCTCTTAATTTAACATAATATACACAGATGTTTCTGCTCACTAAAAAAAAACAACAAAAAAAAACCAACAGCTCTTTATATTACTATCCAAAGCAGCAAAAGTTTCCCTTTATTCTCCTTCAGCTCTCAAACTAATTCCTAGAACCTAATGATGCCCCCAAAAAGCTTCATTCCAGAGAGAGCCTTCTGCCCCTCAATGGCCATTCCTTAGTGACTAGACACAGCTACATTAGATATTAAAGTCTTTTCTTTAATTTGGATATTTTGTATACAAGTAAAATCCATAGGCAGGATTTTCTCTGTGTGATAGAAAAGCAACATGAGGATCTATCCAAATATTAGGATTAAAAATTAGGGATCAACAAAAACAAAGAAATAAGAGTTCCCTCCCATTGTTAAGCATCAGCAGAATATAACAGAAAGAACTCTAAACTGGGTTTATCTTGTTATTCTTATTCTGGCCTCTTAAGATATAAGCCTAATTAATTAATTTTCAGTCTTTTGTCATCTAAAAAATACCATTTAAAAATATAAATTTTTCTCTGAATATTGCTTTCTTTGCAGTTTTGATGTTAGTGCTCTCATCATTTATTTCTATTAGTGCTGTGCTCTATTTTGATTATACTTTAACTTCAGTCATTTAGGAAAAAGTTTTAATTTCCAAATGTATAATTTGGGTTTGTTTTCTTCATTGTTCTCTTGGCAATTATTTTGTTCTAAATTTCCAATTCTGTTGAACTGTGGTCAACAAATATGGCTGGCATGATCTACTATTGGGGATTTATTTAAATAGTCCTTTTTTTATAGTTCTACACTTGTAATCTGTATGGTTTTAATAACCAATATCACCTCAATAAATTTAATTTAAATAAATAAATAAAATCTTTATGATCTAAATGATGGTCTGTTTTGTGAATATTACAGTGTGTGTTTGGGGGCAAAGTATGTTGTCTGTTGGGTATGTATGTAAATTAGATCAATCTACCTAATTGTATTATTGACACATTCTACATCTTTACTTTTCTGACAACTTGATCAGCTGATTTGTGATCGCCAGTTTCACCTTTCATTTCTATCAGTCTTTTTTTTTATGTAGTTTGAAGCTGTATTGGTAAATCATAAAATGTTCATGATTCATATTTTTTTGATGGAATGTATCCTTTAAAATATAAAAGTACTTATTTGGTCCTTTGAAGAACTTTTTCCCTAAATTATACTGACTTAAATATTGTTAAACCTACATTTCATTTACAGCATTTTTCTGTTATATTTTTTTCCTGCCCTTGTTTTCAAACTTTCTGTATCGTGTACTTTACTATGTCTTTTGAAAACATGTTTGTAGGTGATTGGATTTGCAATTCTGCTAATATTCTTTGTCTATTTTTCTATGGAGTTGTTTGGGGTAGGCAGCAGGTGGGGGAGACAAACAAATGAAAAAATGTCTAACATCAGTAGTCATTAGTGAAATGAAAATTAAAACAATGAAATCCCACTATAAATTTGTCATAATGGCTAAAATATAAAATATTGACAACACTAAACGCTGACAAGGATTTGAAGCAACTAAAACTTTCTTATATTACTAACTGGAATGCAAAATGGTAGAGAACTCTGGGATAACAGTCTGGCAGTTTTTTAAAAAATTAAACATATTATTTGACTCAGCAATCCCACTTGTTAGTACTTAGCCCAAAGAAATAAAACTTATGTTCACACAAAACCTACAAATCAATGTTTAGAGCAGTAACATTCATAATTTCCAAAACTGAGGGGGGGGGGGACAAACATCTTTCAACAAAAGAATGAATAAACAAACTGTGGATTATCCATACAATAGAGGACCACTCAACAATGAAAAAATAAAAATAAAAAAGGAAATCATTGATCTACACAACATGAATCTCAAATGCATTATGCTACATGAAAAAAGCTAGATGCAAAAGGTTACAGACTATATGATGCTGTTTTATGACTTTCTGGATAACGCAAAACTGTAGAAACAGAGAACAGATCAGGGGCTGCCTGGCATTATGGTTAATTTTATGTATCAATTTAACTGGGTCATGGGGTGCCAAGATATTTGGATAAACATTATTTCTAGTTTGTCTATAAGGGTATTTCTGGATGAGATTCACGTTTGAATCTGCACTCAATAAAACAGATTCCTCAATGTGAGTGGGCATCATTCAGGGCCCATTAAGGGCCTGAACAGAAGGAGAAATAGAGAATTCATTCCTTTTCTACCTGACTGCTGAGCTGGTACATTGGTCTTCTTCTGCACTCCCATGGTTCTCAAGACCTGACCCAGGCTGGATTATACCACACCTGCTTTCCAGAGTGTCCAAGTTGCAAACGGCAAATTGTGGGACTTTTCAGCCTCCATAATTGAATGTGCCGAGTCCATTTAATAAATGCATAAATGCATAAATGCATAAATGAATAAATAAATAAATAAATAAATAAATAAATAAATAAATAAATAAATAAATCCTATTGGTTCTGTTTTCCTGGAGAGCCCTAATTAATAAAGATTTTGCTACCAAGAATGGATGCTGTTGTAACTAACAAATACCTAAAAATATGGAAGCAGCTTTGGGGCTCGGTAAGGGGACAGGCTGGAAGACTTTTAAGGTGTGTGTCAGAAAAAGTCAACTTTGCCATGAAGCAATTTTTTAAGATGATCATTCTGGTTAGGGCTCAGAAAGAAGAGGAAAGTTATGCCCGGCCGGGCGTGGCTCAGCGGTTGAGGGTCGACCTAGGATCCAGGCGATCGGGGTTCGATTCCTGGTTAGGGCACATGCCCGGGTTGTGGGCTCGATCAATGGCTCTCTCATCATTGATGTTTCTATCTCTCTCTCTCCCTCTCCTTTCCTCTCTCTGAAATCAATAAAGATACATTTTTAAAAAAAGAAAAGAGGAAAGTTAGAGAAAGTCTGGTACCTGTCAAAGGTGCTCAGCTTCCCTTCTCAACAAATGAGTCAAACTTTCCTTGCTCTCCTCTATCAAATGCCTAGGGAAGTATCTGATGGTTGACCACCACATGCAGAGAGTATCTGGCCACCTTCTATTATCTTCAATATTACATTGATTCTTTCCAATCCTCCAAACACTTCAGAAAATTTACTTGTGTTTTAGTGTTTGAGGGCCAGTCAACAAAGACTGATGCATGATACACAAATGCCAGTATATGAAAGGAAATACTGGACTCCAGAAGCAAATTCATCACACAATTCTTGACAAAGTGAAGCTCCACATTATGATCTAAATTTTAAATAATGGACTACACCCCCCTTTCTGTTGTTGCTCATTGAAGCAGTATTTATAAGCAATTTTGTTTGCCTTACGTCATGTCATCAGTCCTCTTCTCTTCTGATTTCCTCTTCAGAAATCATATTCACCTATAATACTCACTCTCCTTACGGATTTTCCCCAAGCTTTAGATTAAAAAACTAAATGTTCCTTTTTGGGGATGCTATTAGTTATTCCTCCTGGTTTCCCCAGTGACATGTCTCAATTCCACAAAACATTCCCTCAAAATAAAAAGAAGTGCATATATCCTTCAACCCTGCGATACCTACTCTAGGAATCTCTCCTCCGGCAATACTGTAATAAAAGCGAGTCCCGGAGCACCACACGCCACTTTCAGAAGGTGGAAGTGGCTGAAGACCACCTTGGAGCGGACGATTGACTGGGGGCACATTGACTCTATGAAATACTATGCAGGCATTAAAAAGGAAATAAGATCTGTGTGTGCGTGTGTGTGTGGTGTCCCCCAAAATTGTACACACGCACACTTTGAATAATTACAAAAGCAGTGTTTATTAAAACACATTTCCTTTTCGAAACTGAGCTATCACCTGTGTATATACATTTGTGTGTGCATTTTTTGGGGACACGACATACAGACACACACACATACGCTTTCACATCTATATACAGAGAAAAAACCTGTCGTGCACAGCACTGAAGAACGTTGTCCTATACCTGGAAACGCGGCAGCCGGCAACACACCGCACGCTTAATGACGGAGAGATACCCATGGGTCGGAGGGACGGGGGCCATTCTAATTCTCCCTATTGGTTTATTTTACCTCAAATCTGTATTAACGTTGAAATGTTTTAAAGTATCACTTTTTAACCTGCACAACTCTAACCAGCATATATTCATCGGGTTAAAATATAAACCTCCTCAGAGAAAACTATCCTCCCTCATACTGCTTTTTATTTTCAGTCTGTTTCACTGTTTTATTTTCTTCGACACACCACCTGTGATTACTTTGTCTAACCTTGTTACGGTCTCCCTCCCCTGCAAGGGAACAGGGCGGGGTGCCGTCGGCCTCGCGCGGTCGCACGCGAGGTCTCGCAGCGACCGTGCGCCTCCAGGAACGCTGCAGGGCTGGGCCGTTTCCAACGACAGGTGCCTTCCCGCGGGGCCGCGCGCTACGCTCGGAGGGACAGGACAAAGTCACGGCTCAGGAAGGGGGCGAACAGCAGAGCCAAGACCTCAACCGCGCCTCAAAGAAACAAACTGGCAAGAGACGCTGGCGTCGTCTCCTAGCGCCCGAATCCTAGTGACCAGGAGAGAGAGGAGGCGGGAGGAGGGGGGGGAGAGGAAGAACTGGAGGTCACGTGATTCGTAACGCGCCCCGCCCCCCTTTCCTTTCCGGCGGAAAGGAAAAAGCTGTAGAGTCAGCTCGACAAGGCCGGAGAGGGATTTATCTGTGCTAAATAAGAGTTGAGAGGTACCCAATATAAATGTATTGTCTCCGGGTCTGTTTCGCTTTCCCTTGCGTTCCGACTAGACGTTGCCCAAACCAAAGATGGCGGCACCGGCGCTGTGTCCTATCACAGAGACGCAGGCCTAGCGGAGCCCGCGCGCGGCCGCAGTGCGCACCGTCCTATCACGCGGCCCCGGTGTGGGAAGTCGGGGGCGGGGCCGCCACCGGGAGTTCCTGCGTCGGCGCGAAGATGGTGGAGGAGGAGGAGAGTGTCCGCGTGGTTCGCTGTGGCGGCAGCGAGTTGAATTTCAGAAGAGCCGTGTTCTCTGCGGATTCTAAGTACGGGGCCGCTGCGCGTTGTCCGCGGGCCGAGGGGCGTGCGTCCCGGGGGCGGGGGAACAGCCGTCAGGTGTCCGGGCTCGCCAGCGGCAAGTCGGGACTCGAGGTTGGGGCGCGTGCGGCGGACCCCAGGGCACGCGGGTGGGGTGGTCCTGTGTGCTGTGAGAGGAGCGGGACACCCTTGGGCCCCGGGACGCGGCGGGCTGGGGGCGCCTCCCCCTGCTCTGACGGTTTACCTGCGCAGGTGGGTTGCGGGGCGCGAGGGGGCGGACCCACGTGTCCAGAATCGCCTCGGCGTTGGGGCCGCTAGAAAATGGTCCAGGCACGGATGACTGGGACTGAATCGTGACTCGGAATTACTGAACTATTAAAGATTTGCCCTTCTCCACACTCCCCTACCCCTACAAAAGACATTCCAAAAAGACCTGGAGCTTTGCGTGAAAAGTGGTATCAGAGTCAGTGGGTGCTTTACACACATTCCTGTCTGCAAGGTTTAGGTATTATCCGTATCTTACAGAAGCACTTACTGAGTGTTTGCTGTATGGGCTAAGTTTGCATTTGCATGCATTATTTCATTTAATCTTCATGATAACACTATGAGAAAGTGTTATCCTCATTTTGCAGTTGGTAATAGTGAAGTTCAGGGTGGTTAAGTAAATTCTCCATCATTCAGCCAGTACATGGTAAAGCTGGTATTCAAACCCATTTATATTTGAGTTTTAAAAATGTACTCTTGCTACTGTACGGTATTTCTCTTATTATTTATAATAAGTAAACACATAATGCCTCCCCTCAGGGATCTGGCAGTCTGTTAGGGGAAGTCTTTTATAATGCCATGTGGTAAATGCTATGGTAGAGCTAAGCCCACCATCCAGTAGAAGCACCGTGGGACTGCTACTGATCCAGACTGCGAAGATAAAGAATTGTGTTAGGAAGGCCCCTGAGCTGAATCTTAAAGGAGTAGTCAGAAGGGAAAAGTGTTGTATGTAGATAGCAGAGTGTGCAAGAGCATGGAGAGTTTGCTTTGGAGGCTTGCATTCATATAGTTAAAGCCATTCTCGCCTAGGATTACAGAGGAAAGTCCTTTCCTTTGGGAAGCATATGAGAGTCAATTAGGGGAGTTTTCTTGGCAAACAGTACCCACTGCCATCTCAAGGAAACACTCCCTAAAGGATCTGTTTGTTGATTCTAATGGGGCATGTCTTAGGAGGGGGAGAAAGTTGTTGGAGTTGTGAAGCACTTGACACAGTGTTCAGGTGAAAAAATAGCAGTTCCAGTCAGACTGGGGTCAAACCACCAAGGGCGTTAGGAGTTTGGATCATATCCTGGAGGCAGTGGGAAAACATTGAAGGATTTAAATTTAATTTTATCTTTATTTAAGGAAGTAATGTGGTCAGGTTTGCAAAATTAGTCTGATATAAGGATGAAAGATGAATTGAAGGGCTACACCCGGAGACTGGGAAATTTTTAAGAGTGGTCCAGGCTGGAGATGGTAAGACTGAACTAAGGTACTCGGGAGAATGGAGAGGAGGATCCACCCAGCAGGGATCCATGTACCTTAAACGCTTTGGTGCTCATACTTTCTTGATCTTAGAAAGTTGTGCACAGCCATGGTATGACTGCCTCCTGGCTACAGCATGTATAAGATGCAACCTGATTTGAGAGAGGTGAACATGTGAAAAATCAAGTGCCTTAAAACTGATAAAATAGTAGTGACCCCAGTCAGCATCAGAATATTTACTCTTTTATTATTTTGTAATAATTGTCTACTGGTTTATTTTATCCAGTTAATTTATAAAATTTATAAAACATCTGAGATTCAGGCAAGTTCTGTTCAACAAACGACTGGACATTGGGAAACAAAGGTAAATAATACCTCTGCCCTGTAGGATCTTATGGCCAGATAAGGGAGATAGATATATATATGTATGTAAATATATATATATATATATATATATATATATATATATGTAAA